CCCGATTGTAACTTCCATCCCTCTCCTACTTACAGGCTGTTCACCATTCGCTTGGCCTGTGGCACCTCATCTCCCCCAAACTGTGTTGTGTCTCTTCCCTTACACTGTGTCATCTCTTTCTGGACCTCTCTCCTGGACCACCTTCCTTTCCCCTGTCCCACTGTCCATGCCACATGGTTGCCCCCAGCCATGTCACTGAATTACTCCCAGCCTGTGCCCTTCCTTCCCCAAGTGGTGCCACATATATTCCCCTGGTCCCAGCAAGCTCTCCCCCCTCAACCTGGGCCCCCTCCTTTCATTTCTTTTCAGGTCCGATACATGAAGATCATCGAGAAAAGCGGTTACCAGGCCCTGCCCTGGGTCCGGTACATCACCCAGAGTGGCGGTAAGGCAGCCGGCTCCCTGGGACAGTGGGGTCAAAGGGATGATGGGGATGGTCTTGGAGTTTAGATGCATTCTCACTCTCACTTCGAGGGCTCCAGAACTCAACAGGCCTATCCTGTCTTTGTCACCATGCCAACTTGGGCCTTGGTTTACCCATCTTTAAAATGGGGGCAGTTGCCAGTTCCATCTGCTGCCTGGAAACAGGCTAGTTACTGTGGGTTCATTCCCTGTGTTTGATTCACCCTTGGCCTTGTAACTTCCTGGCAGGGTTGATCCTGAACACTGGGGCTGGGGAAGGATTGGGGGGACTGTCTGTCTGCACCATTTGTCCCATTCTGAGATGTCCCTGCTCATTGTTTTCTTGCAGATTATCAACTTCGTACCAGCTAGAAAGGAGAGGAGGTAGGGCCTGGAGCACGGGCCTCCCTCTCCCTCGGTCCTGATTGCGGACTTTAGAGGGAGGGAAGGAAGGTGGGGAAGGTGTGAGCAGGCCCCTATTGGCTTAGCAGTTTCCTGCTTCCTGCTCCCAGCACCTGGCCCCCTCCCAGTCTTGTCCTCTACCCAGAGGCTGGGAGGATGGCCTCCCAGCTTCCCCCTTCCACCTCCACTTTTATATGAAGAAAGAGAGGAGGGGCCTGGAAGCCCATTCAGGAGTGCCTTCACCGGTGACCTGCCTTAGGGGGTGTGGGTGCCCCTCCTTCAGCGCTGCTCATTTGAGGATGGCATTAAAAACATCAACTCAGCTGCTGTGCACGTGCCTCTTGGCTGGGGACTGGGGGTGCAGGGGCGTCCTTGATTTGCTGGGATGGGAGCGGGTAGCACAGATCCATTCTTCAGCCCTGGTTGCCTCCTCCGTCCCCAGACTGGGGACTTCCCTCCCCGCACCTCCAGTCAGTTTCCCCCGCAGCCGCCAGAGGGCGCTGTTAACCTCCAAGTCCGCTCAGAACCCTCTCGTGCTTCCCTCCTCGATCTGTGCCACCCATCCTGCCACCTACCTGCCCTCACCTCCCCCTCCATACCCGGCTCTTCCTGGACACACCAGGCGCACTCCTACCCCTGGGCCTTCGCATTTGTGCCCTGGACCTGGCATGCTTTTCCTGAGTATCCACACACGCTCCTTACCGTAACTTCCGGTCTCAAATCAATGTCACCAATTCAGGGTGACCTCTGTTTCAACAGCCTCCTTTACCAATAGGCTCTTACTTATCCCGTTGTATCAACTCCCTTAGCGTTTACCACTCTGAAAATATGTAATTACTGTTCCCTCCTGCCCTGAACTGTAGCTCGCTCTCCAGTTGGGCGCCCACATACAGTAAGTGTTCAGTAAAAAAAAATAAAATTTCTCCCCAGTAAATGTTTGAATGAAGGTCTCTGCCAGGTACAGCCACGTGGCAGCTGCGGCGTGAACGTTGCTTCGCGTCCCTTGCACTTGCTGTGCTCGGGCTGGTTCAATCTGAGCCTGAAAGAGATTTCCTCCTCATTCGCTCGTTTTATTTTCTCCACGGCGCCTCACGCTGTCTTAACTTATGTAGGTGCTTGAATGTGCGATGGGAAAGGTTCCTGCACAAGGTGGGTGGATGAAGGAGACAAAACGCTCCGCTCCCTGTGAAGGACGAATAAATGCTTATCGCACAGCATTTATGGTGGAACCGCGGGCGCGGCGGCCCCAACGGAGGCGCTAGGCTCCTGGAGCCGCCCGCGTTCCCCTAGCCTTGAACTTTCTCTCCCCGGTCAGTTAAACCGGCTCTGCCTCCCGCGCGCCAGGCGCATTTGAAAAACCGAAAACCCCGCCATTGCCGGCGGTCCGCCAATTGCCGCGGCTCGGCCAATCAGGGGCGGTACCGCCCACGCCAGCGTTCAAACCCTCCCCGGCAACGCGTAGCTATTGGCTGCGCTGGGCGAGTGGGCGGGGCGTCGCAGGGTCGGGCGCCGGGCGGCGCG